CCTCCCAAAGTGCTGGGATTACAGGCTTGAGCCACCGCGCCCAGCCTGTTTTTTTTTTTAAAGGATGCTAGAGCTCATTTACTCTTCCCAGTGTGGGAAGGGTGTGTCCTCTAGACCTGCGCTGGGTGGTTGAGTGAGTCCTAATGACTCAGTAGATCCACTAGCACCGCCACCTCCCTAAGCACTTAGATATTTCCTCTATACAACACCATGGAAGTCCTGGCACTCCTACTTCAATTAGTCTAGACCACCTTTGGGTTGATTTTTATTCAACGAACAAGCAAAGTGTTAGAGCCATTCCCGGCTCCTCAGGCTAAAGCACTGACTGCTTCCAAACTGGAGGGGCTGCTCAAATGCATACTGGGATTCCTGAGTGTGGCAGTCCCACTGTGGCAGTTTAGGGAAGAGGAATGGCCTGGCTGGGGCTGCCACCCACCATGCCGTCACACTTCCTGACTGCCTGCTAAACGGAGTCCTGGGGTCATTTATCTTTGCTCTAGTTCTGACTGCTGAAAATGATTTAGTCTTAAAAAATGAATAAATACCTTTAAGGTTGTCAGATTTAGGGAAAAAAAGAGAACAAAAGGAAAAACAAAAGAAAACAGAAAACCAGAATACCAGAATGCCCAGGTAAGTTTGAATTTCAGATAAATAATAAATACTGTAACTGTTGTATATGGGATGTACTTATACTAAATAATTATTAGTTACTTAACTGAAATTTAAATTTAACTGGGCGTCTTGTATGTTTTTCAGCTTCAAATTGTATTGCTTTTCCATTCAGTATATCAACTGTTTCTCATTTTAAAACTACTTCTGGGCCGGGTGCAGTGGTTCATGCCTGTAGTCCTGGCACTTTGGCAGGCTGAGGCAGGTGGATCACCTGAGATCAGGAGTTTGAGACCAGCCTGACCAATACACTGAAACTCCATTTCTACTAAAAAATACAAAAAAAAAAAAAAAAATAGCTGGGCATGGTGGCAGGCACCTATAATTCCAGCTACGCGGGAGGCTGAGGCAGAGGAATCGCTTGAAACTGGAGGCGGAGGTTGCAGTGAGCTGAGATTATGCCATTGTACTCTAGCCTGGGCGACAGAGCGAGAGTCTATCTCAAAAACAAACAAAAAACAACTAGTTCCATTTGTAACCACGAATACACAGAATTGAGATGAACAGGAAACAGCTCAGGAGATTTCAATCTTTCTCTCATATGTCCCTACTTAGAATGACCTCAACCAAACAGGAATTGTTTTCTGTATTGGAAAATAATTTACAGGCAAAATAGAAACACCATCAGTTTTTCTTGAATAGACTAGCCATATTCTGCTTTTCATGATTTGTTATTTTTCTAATGCAGTCGTTTGTGTAAAAGTGGAAAAGCACGTGTTATTTTTATCCGTAGGAAACTATTCTTGGTCTGACATGGGAGGAAGGCCTTGATAGCTGTTAATGTTCTAAATGTACCACTTAAGTGTTCGAGCCACTGTAAGCCGGATCGTTCAGCACACACTTGCGCTTTTCATCAACCATTTCAGTCTCAGCCACTGTAACAGTTTGCAGATCTTTATTCTCCATACACTCCGTGTTTTCCTTTGGAAAATCCTGGTAAGATTGTTCTTGAGTTCATCACTGTGTCTGTAAACATGGGAAGATGAGGCTATTTTCCCTGAGAGTCCTGTCAGCGTCTCCTCTTCCTATCAGAGGAGAAGTGGATGGAGAGTCCAGACCTACTTCTGCAAATGTGTAAAGAGAATTTCTGTCCCTTCTTCTTCTCTTTTTCTTGAACCTTTCTCATCCTTTTTTCACATAGGCTGGAACACTCTCTTCCCTGGTCTCTCCCTTGACTTACCATGGTGATTTTATTTGCCATGGAAGGTCATTCCCGATGAGACTGTGCTCCCTGTGGGGGCACCCCCAGCAGCCCCCTTCTGCTCACTGGTTGGTGATGGGGTTGAGGGGTTATGCCCATGGGCATCCTGTATTTTAGCTGCCAACTCTACTTGGGAGATGTGACAGAGGCCTGGGCACTGCCTCTCCTCCAGCAAATGCTCACAGTGTATTTCCAAGACAAGTCACACTAACATAATGGAGTGCCTGGATGCTGAGAGGCTTTTTAAAAAATAGCCTTTTTGAGGTATAGTCAACTCACAATAAATCACGTTTAAGGTCTACAACTTGTTACGTTTTTGACATATGTATATACCAATGAAACCATCACCATAATCAAAATAGCAGATATAGTCACTATCCCCCCAAATTTCCTTATTCCCCTTTGCAATCTATTCCTCTCCCCTCCCCTCCAACATCTCTGGCAACCACTGATTTGCTGTCACTGTGGATTCATTTGCATTTTCTAGAATTTTATATAAACAGAATCATAAAATAAGTACTCTTAAAAAATATATGGCTTCTGGTGGGGCACGGTGGTTCATGCCTGTAATCCCAGCACTTTGGGAGGCTGAGGCGGACGGATCACCTGAGGTCGGGAGTTTGAGACCAGCCTGGCAAACATGGAAAAACCCCATCTCTACTAAAAATACAAAAATTAGCCTGATATGCAGGTGCATGCCTGTAGTCACAGCTGCTTGGGAGGCTGAAGCATAAGAACTGCTTGAACCCAGGAGGTAGAGATTGCAGTCAGCCAAGATCACACCATTGCATTCCAGCCTGGGCAACAGAGTAAGACTCTGTCTCCAAAAAAAAAAGAAAAAAAAAAGGAAAAAAAAATCTGGTCTCCTTCTTCAGCATTTTGAGATTTCGTGCATGCTGCTGTGTGTCCACAGCTCGTTTCTTTTTGTGGATGAGCAGCGTTCCACTAGATACACAGGCCACTATTTGTTTACCCATTCACCTGTTGATTGTTTTTGTCTAGTTTGAGGCTATGTAAATACAGGTGTCATGAACATTTGGGTCCAAATCTTTGTGTGGACATACATGCTCATTTCTGTTGGGTGAATACCTAGGAGTGGAATGGATAGCAGGTATAGGCTTTGCTTTTGGTGACACTGCCAATTTTTCCAAAGTGGTTATTCCATTTTACATTCCCACCAGCAGAGTGTGAAAATTCCAATTGCTCCACATCCTTTTAGAAGCTACAAAAGCTGCCATTTAAAATGTCACCATCAGTTTCTTTCTTTCTTTCCTTTTTTATGATAGTGGCTGGCATTTAGCTTTGGAATGGAGGGATCCTTTGCTGTGGGAAGGACCTTTGAGTGACTTCTTGCAGTTATAGCTATTGAGGTCAGACCCATAGCCCTATTATGACTCTGAAAGAGTCGACCCAGCCACAAGACCTCAGTGAGTGACATAAGGCGCCAGAGAAGAGGCTTTCATCATGGGCTCAGCAAAACTAAAATCACTGGCATACATCATTTAGTTCCTGTTCCTCATTTCTCTCCAACTGACAGTTGCTTCGTACTTCCTCTCTGCCTCCCTCTGCTGCGCTTCCCACCCTCACATCCCCAAACCTCTCTACTTTTCTGAAAAATTCACCCTGACTCTAAATTCCACATTGTCTTCAGCACAAAACCAAACCCTTAGTTAGTGGAGTTCCTTCTCCCTGGAACAGTGGTTCTCAGAATGAGGGCCCCATGTCAGCAGTACCTGTATCCCTGGGGAATTTGTTAGAAATGCATATTTCTAACTCCAGACCTCCTGAACCAGAAACTCGGGGATGGGGCCCAGAACTCTGTGTCTCAGCACAGGGCTTGTGATGCGTGCTGGCATTTGAGACCCACTGCCATGGAGCATGGTTTGGAGCCAGTTATTGTTATATAAGCATGTCTGTTGGGGGTCTCATGTACTATCTTAATAAGCTTTTTGAATGTTGCAGTTAACACAAATGGGGGGTCTTTGGTTATGGGGTGGCATAAGGAGAATTCTCATGTTTGGAAAAATCAGATTTTCTCTACCTCATTTCACCAATATAGAGCAAATTTCCTTCCACTACTGTTAAGAAATTAAGGACCCCTTTTAATTGGCCAGTGACTTGGGCTTTTAATGAGTTAGATGCCTCTATGTGTCCCTATGTGAGATGCCGTGCCCGTGGATATCATCAATTTTGGCTAGGAAGGAAGGTGGCTTCTGTGAAGGAGGGACAGGGTCCCACTGCTTTTCTCTAAGGTTCAATGCTGTGAGCATGTGCCTGAGGCTGGGAGGGGAGGACCGTGGACTGGTGCCCTGGAGAGCAGCAGCAATGGGTGGCCTGGGTAGGTTTTCAGCAAGTGTCAGTGTCACGCCTCCAGTTCTCTTCAGTGCAAGCAAGATGCTGGGCCAGCAGGAGGAGGCAGCCAGGCCAGGCCCTATGTCTGCAGGACTCAGCTATGAGCAATGATTGTCCCATGGCGGCAAGGCACTGGTAGCTTTGAGGCCTCAAAGGGCCAGAAGCAAGATTATAAAGAGACCAGTGAGTGTGGAGCCCAATTCTGAAGACCAGGAACAGGAAAATGTTTTTGAAAATGTTTCAAGGATGCATTATCCTTGCAGATCTGGGGGTCGCCGGGGAAGTAGCTCATACGTTGAGGTGACCTTCTGTTGACGTGGCAGGTGGGAGCCTGTGTTCTACCGACTCAGCCATAGAAAGGAATTGGGAAAACATTTTGTAGTTATGGGCTGGTGACGCCTGAGGTATGTGTTATACTTAAAAGGACAAAGCATTCATTTTGTTAGACATTTTAAAACATAATTTCTCACTTGCTTTTGTTAAATCTCCTAAGATTTTGTAGTTGTGATAAAGTACAAGAAAATACCAGAAACCTTGGATTAGGGGAAACCTGGGGGCCTAGGGGTGAGGCAAGTAACCAAGAGAATTTAGAGAGCTTCCACAGGACGCGTCACCTTACCTCTTTTTCCCACAGATTCCAGCTAGCTAGTTCTTCTCATCGCCTGCAAGAAAATGCACCTGAAAACTTACTCCCATATAAATGGTCTGCTTACAATTTGGAACGCAGTCAAACTGGGTTTAAAAGCAACTTATGAGTTATTTTAAAATGCACTCAATAGACATTTTAAAATACATTTATTTCATGTACTTTGTCCCCAGTGTTTGGAGTTCTGGACAAACCATAGGCTCTGAGCAAATGCTCCCAGGGCTGGAGAATCAGTTCTGCTACTTCCTAGTTGTGTGATCTTAGACAAATTTCCAAGCCTCAGTTTTTCTTCTCAGAGAAATGAGGCTCGTCCCATCCACACTATGAGCAAGTGGTAGGAGGTGGAGGAGCTCACATTTGTAAAGAGCCTGGCACGGCACCTGAGACAAATCAATGCTTAGCAAAGTTAGCTCACCTCTCCCTTTTCTTCCTGTATCCGATTTTGCATACAAATGTGTAAAAAAATTACATGAAAGAATGCAAAAGGACGAAAACCCATGTTTATTCGTCTTGCCTTTGATGGATGCTGGTTTACACTTCGGTGGAAAGATCAGGTTCTTCCCTCCACGTGCCTTGTGCAGACTCCCCGCTGGGTTGAAGTGGGGTGTTTCGGCACAGACGGAAAAGGCGGCAGAGGTATTTCCTAAATGTCCCATCAAGAAACACATAGAGGAGAGGGTTGACACAGCAGTGGGTGGTGGCGATGAGTTTAGTGATGTAAACACTTTTGTCCAGGTTGTAGTTGCTCTTGCAGTCACTCAGGGAGAAGTGTTCTTTGAAAGTGGACAGGAAAAGTGTGATATTGTAGGGCGCCCACATCAGAAGGAAGACTGCCATTAGGGCAAAAACAAGCTTGAAAAAGCCAGACCTCTGCTCCCTGAACCTTAGTGTTTTTCTCATTTGCACATAGGAAAATGTGAAAATAAACAGGGGGAGGACAAGAACTGAAATGTTCATCTTTAAAGTCAGAAGATGCTTCCAGAATGTCTCATCAGCTGGCAGGAAAGGAGGTTTGCTAAATGCACAGTGGTGTTTCTGGTCTTCCATCTGAGGTTTATAAAACACGAATTCAGGCCAAGTGGTCAGAATGGCTGTTACCCATGCCAGGACACTTGTAATGATGCCACAGGACACCGTCCTGCTGGCCGCGAAGAAGCTTCTCTTGTGCAAAAACACCAGGTACCTTTGCACAGTCAGAAGGCAATTGAAAAATGTCTCACTGTACAGGCCCACGAAGTACAGTCCAAGGAGAATTGTACACATGGGATTGCCAACAGTGTGAGCCCAGAAGGGCAGTGCAAGCAGGAAACACAAGTTGGAAAGTGCCACATTTAGAAGATAGATATTTTCCGTGTGTTTGAGTCCTTTATATTTGACCAGAATAAGCACAACTAGGAGATTGTCCAGGATACCGAGCACGAACACAGTGGAGAAGAGCGACGGCACCAGCTGAGCCAAGAGCACCTGAGCATCATACTTGTCACACTGTTCTGCCTCATTGCTCTCCAGTTCATCCCCTATGAAGACATCATACTCATCCTCTGGGGCCAACGTGTAATTTTCCATCTTCAGGCTGCCCTGCGGAGAGATGGGAGGTGATTTTCCTCTCCGACAGCTGTATGATCCTGGAGGACATGACAAACCGGACCCGGATTCATACAGCCCCACTTTCCCTTTCTGGAGCGACATTTCAGCCAGAGTGGTTCGGTGTCTCAGAAGACTGAAGTAAACATTTCTCTATCGTGTGCCCACTTCCCCAGAGCAGCACCATCCCCAATCCAGTTGTTAAGCGCATAAGTGCTTAGCAGTGTACCAGGTGCCACGGGAAATAAAGCTGGCATGGCACCGTCTGTATAGAACTTACCTTCTTTGAGCAGAAGCAAGAGTTGCCTACGTGAACACAATATGTAAGAAAATATACAATTAAAGAGAATCAAGTTCCATGGCTTAGTTTTAAGAATCGGGTATAGATCATAAATTCTGCAGCATGTTTAGGAAGTTTGCTCACCCCCCGAAGCAGCTTCCTGTGACAGCTGAGATGTTTTTCTCTTGAAGGATGTAGACAAATGTTTGCAAAAGTGAAACCAAGCTCAGCATGAACATGCCCATAAGGGGTTAAATACATAGATGACACAAAGAGGACTTACCACTGGGCAGAGTTCCTGGGGGAAAGGGTGCAGCCTCCAGACCCAGCATCCGAGAGCTGTGGGAATGGCCCCGGACAGTGGATGGCTTCCTTTTGGTCAGACTGCTCCTGACCCCGAGGGGCACGAGAAACCACTGTTGATTCCCCTGGTGGCTCTACCCCCCCACTCACAGAGCTCAGGGACCAACTGAAATAAAGAACTCAAAAGCTCCCCCAGGCCCTCAGAGGATCTCTGAAGCCTCTGAGAGCAACCGGGAAGTTGTTTTCTCCTCCCCTCTTGGCCCTCTACCCCGCCTTTGATTTCCCTGTGGCCCTTGGCAGCCATCCCCTGGCTGCCTGAGATAAGCAAACTGAGACACTGCTGCTCCAAGCGATAGCAAGGAAGTGATGTCAAGGCGCTGAGACCTGCCAAGACCCTCCGGCTTGTGGCATGTGACACTCTGAGTAGGTAACGGCAGCAGAGAGGAATGTTGGTGATGACCACGAGTCCAGACCTGAGCATCCTGATCCTCCAGTGTGGCCTCTCACCAGTGTTCACAGAAACCCACCTGCGGATTTGATATGGGGACTAGGAACCTGCCATGAGAGTCACAGTGTGTTTGGATTTTTATTGTCATTTTTGAGGGGCGCTGTGTGCTTTGGCTCAAGACTGAGGTCCCAACAGAGAACTTCAGGAAAATGGAAGCCACGGGGCGATGTCAGTTGGGAAAAGGGCAGGGGCAGAGGTGGGGCCTTGGCGGCAGTGAGTGTAGGGCTGTCCTGGGTGTCAACTGAGGAAAGCAAAGGGGTTTGCAAGCAGCCGGAAGCTATTGGTGCTGGGACGCATGGGGAAGTTGACCCCGCTCTGCAGAGGAGAACCCAGGGGTGGGAAGTCCCGTGGTGACGACACGGATGTGACATCAAGTCGGGAAGGAGAGAATGTGAGGGGGCAAGTTTAACCCCAAACTGAGGCTGGGGGGTAGGGTGACTTTGAGGCCAGAGAGAAGGAAACTGAGAGAACAGCGCAGATTTGGAATGGTGGGAGGAGGCCGGGGGAGGGCCGGCTGTGGAAAGAGGACGGGAGGGGGAGGGCATGGTTTGGAAGGAGGATGAGCCGAGAAGAGGAAGTTGAAAATACTGAAAAAATCTCCATGAGCTTCTCTTGAGTCAACGACTCAGCAGCTGTGACTAACCTAATTTAGGAACCAGACCTACCTATTGGCTTAGAATTTATATCTTGGTTAAACGACATCCTTTTCATACGAAAGATGTGTCTGAGGTAGGGCTGAATACAAAATTTATACCTGCCAAAATAGAAACAGAAAACTAAGAAGCTAGCCTGACGCGACGGCCTGTTCCTATAGTCCCAGCCACTCAGAAGGCTGAGGTGGGAGGGTCGTTTGGGCCCAGGCGTTTGAGGCCAGCCTGGGCAACATAGCGAGACCCCGTATCTTAAACAATATAAAAATTAGCCAGATGCAGTGGCAAGCACCTGTAATCCTAGACATTCGAGAAGCTGAGGTGGAAGATCACTTGAGCCCAGGAATTTGAGGCTGCAGTGAGCTACCATCATGCCACTCTGCACTGCGGCCTGGGTGGCAGAGTGAGACACTATCTGTGGAAGAAAAAGAAGAATGAGGAGGAGGAGGAGGAGGAGAAGGAGCGGTGGGCAGAGGAGGGGGGGCAGGCAGAGAAGGGAGGAGGAGGAGAAGAAAATGAAGAAACTATTAAGAGAAAAATAAACATAGAAAGAGCCCAGACAAATATGTGATTGAGCACTAAATTTAACTCCATTTGTGCTGACAGCCATGGCAGAGAGAGAAATGCAGTGATGTTCGGTGGCAGAGGGGGTAGTGCTGGTGGGAACCTAAGCTGTAAGTGTCCCCTCCTCTCTTGTGTGGGTCTGCTGTGAGTGAGTGGCGGTCACCACACCCTGGGACACTCTTCCCACCCTCTATAGCCTGGGATCAGCAGTAGTCCTCCTGGGTCTCTCCGCCTCCTGCAGCTGGGCAGGACACTCAGGACCTTGAATGAGTAGGTGTGGGTGGCCTTAGACTCGATGCTCATGGATCAGTTCCAGAAAAAGGAAGGAGAGTCCAGTCAGACTTTGAAACTTGCAAAACCCCGGGAGTACACACACTCTCCTTCAGTGGAGGACAAAAACAGCAGGCAGGCACCGCATGAACCACGTCCCGGAATCATGGGAGATGCGAAATTTCCCAAGGAAAAACACAGAATCATGTGAGATGTGAAATTCCCTAAAGAAAAGTGTTTTGTAAATTCAGGATCAACCTAACATTAGCATGGCCTTCACTTTCAGTATTATTTTATTTTTGCCTGATTCCCAGCATTCTTGCCTATCCACACTCAGGCCATAAGGTCCTTGAAGCTTCTACATAGGAAGGGAGGAAGAGTTTAGAAGGCTGCAGTTGTACATAGGAAGGGAGGAAGAGTTTAGAAGGCTGCAGTTGAGGCAAAAGGCAAGTTCTCTTTCATTCTAATATCTGAAGCCATAACAGGGCCTCCTTGTTTGTGAAATGAAACCACATTCCGCAGCCTTGGCAAGTGGCCCACAGACCTTACCTCTGAAGGCCTGAGTCCCTCTTTATCACTGTAAGTTGACCCCAGTTTTAGTTGAAGAAATGACCACTGTATACTCTCATACGCCGCTATGTGCAGATCTCTCATTTACTCAATTCAATTATTCAGCAAGTTTTTCTCGAGTGCCTAGCCTGTGCCCAGCTCCGCTCCAGGTGCTGGGGATGTGCCAATGGACAAAACAGGCAAAAATCCTGACCTTCATGGAGGCCTCACTCTACTGACAGAAACTAAGCAAGTGCATGGTAGGTTAGTAGGAGAGAAGTGCTATGGAGAACACCAAGCAGGGAGGGAAAGCAAGAGGCCAGGGTGGCTCAGGGATCACATTTTAAATAGCGTAGTCAGAGAAAGCCTTGCGGAGGGCTGGATACGGCGGCTCATGCCTGTAATCCCAGCACTTTGGAAGGCTGAGGTGGGTGGATCACCTGAGGTCAGGAGTTGGAGACCAGCCTGGCCAATATGGCAGAACTCCATCTCTAGTAAAAGTACAAAAATTAGCTGGGACGAGTGGCAGCGGGCGCTTGTAGTCCTAGCTACTCGGGAGGCTGAGGCAGGAGAATCACTCAAACGCAGGAGGCAGAGGTTGCAGTCAGCCAAGATTGTGCCACTGCATTTCAGCCTGGGTGACCGAGTGAGACTCTATCTCAAAATAACAAAATTAAAAAAAAAAGAGAAAGCCTTGCTGAGAAGATGGGCACTGAAGCCACAAATGGTTAGGTCCAATAGTTCATGATCATTATCTCATTCTTTCTTGTCAGGAAGGTCTTATATCAGGGAGGCTGAAAACACCACACTCTGGGTGATAACCTTGGCAATAATTTTACAGAAGATGCAAACATATTTTTCTTAATATATTGGACCTCAATGAAAAAAAGCAAAGGAAATGAGGCACCAGTTATGAATTGATTGCCTTTCCGCTCTTCAACCACTCCTCTGCATTCTGCTTTGTGATTCTAGAGCTGGACCCCATAAACATTTCTCCTTTGCCAGCTGGTGTAGAAGGCATAGAAGGGTCACGGTAAGAGGCAGAGTTTTTTCTTTCTGGTTCCAGGATTTGTTTTTACTTTGTTTACGTTCTTTTGGCTAATCTGCCAGTGCTGGGTGGAGACCCTTTGTGCCCACTCTCCAGTGAATTTTCCCGACACCACGACAGTGGCTTCCTGTTGACTTTTGCTGGCACTCTAGTGGGTAGCTTCCTAGTAAATTTTGCTGGCACCCCGAGCGCATCTTCCTTGCCAGAGGCATGCCCACACTCCTGCAAATCTCACTGGTACTCCTTCGGAAAGTTTACTGCTCACCAGCCCCAACCTGCCACAGCTCAGCAAACTTCTTGACCATACATTGAGTTGCAGCCACACTCCCTCCAGCAAGAGCAGATCAGCCGGGGAGAAAGGGCAGGTTTTGAGTTTGTCCCTTCCTTGCCTGCTCTGCCTTAGCTTAGAGGTTGTGGCCGCTCTCTACGTTTGCCATTCCTGCATTCTTTAGCGTTCTCCTTACCCACTTTAGTAGTTCATACCCTTTCATTAGTTAATAACTCTTTATACTTAATGTTCATTGTTCAAAATACTGGTGTGGTTTCTGTCTTGACTATGCTGATTGATACACACAACATTGAATTTAGTTCAGGGAAGGGATGTGAGAGTGCTAAGATGATACCTTTTTTAGAAATCTGACTTGATATTGAGGAATAGGTATCAGACAAAGAGCTAAAAACAGAACTACTATTTGACCCAGCAATCCCATTACTGGGTATATGCCCAGAGGAATATAAATGTGAGTATTCATTGCAGCACTATTCACATAGTGAAGACATGGAATCAACCTAAATGCCCATCAATGAAAGATCATATAAAGAAAATGTGGTACCGATACACCATGAAATACTATGTAGCCATAAAAAAGAATGAGATCAGGTTTCTTGTGGGAATGTGAATGGAGCTGGAGCCTATTATACTTAGTGAACTAACACAGGAACAGAAAACCAAATACCTCATAATATCACTTATAAGTGGGAGCTAAATGATGAGAACTCATGAACACAAAGAAGGGAACAACAGACACTGGGGTCTGCCTGAGGTTGGAGGGTAGGAGGAGCAGAAAAACTATCTATAGAGTACTGGGCTTAATATCTGGGTGAGGAAATAATTTGTACAACAAACCCCCATGACACAAGTTTACCTATGTAACAAACCTTCACATGTACCCCAGAACCTAAAATAAAAGTTAAAAAAATATTATTTAAATGAACAATAACAAATTTGGAAAGTTTCTAAAAAAGAGAAATGGATATTAGAATGTTTAGACTTATGATAATTTAATCTGTCCCTTACTATGGCTTCTTCAAATATCAGCTTTCTTAGATTATCAATCAATCTATCTAATTGTTATTAGCAAATAATATTACAGAAAATTTGTGTAGAGAAAAACTAGGATGGTGATAATCTCAAATAATGGCCATTATAAGTTTTAAGCAGCACTGCTTCTTGATACGAAATGTAGAAAAACTACTTTTAGAAAACAATTTTCTTCTGAATTAGTTGTTCAATATTGAGTAATAGATCAAAGAGGCAAATAACTGCATATAATTCTAAGGCTTCTGAGACCTTCTCATCCTGCCCCCAAATTTACTTTCCCATACTGGCTGATGCCTAAAATGCCACCTCAGTGCCAACACTTAGTGGCTGTGATACCTGGGAGGGCAGATAATACTTCTAAAATATAACAGTGTTGATAATCCACCCTGGAAATAGAGATTTTAGATG